CATTGTTAGCAAGACCAAAAGTTGTTCCAGACAAAGTTCTAGTACAAAAGAAGTACACAATTCCACAAGGAGTTGGATTGTTCGATACCAACCTGAACCAGAAGAACTTCAATGAGGTTGCAAGAACTTCAAGATGCTATAAACAAACTTCCATTGAGACATCCAATTGACGTCAAATTGTATTGGAGAGCATCTGAGTTAGGTCAGAAGGTTTTATATGAAACAGATTGCTTCGACGATGTTTATGAGATAACAGGAGAAGTTTCTCAGAAGATAAGAGACTCACTTGAATTTCCACAAACTGGACCAATTGGTTGTGACAAGTTCGACTCAAACGAAAAAGATATACTATGTCGACCTTAACGCTGCGTACATGAGGTTGTCCAATATATTCGACTGAATTCCAAACGAAGATGGTGAGTTCCCGGAAGGAACTATACAGTTGGAAAAGTCATACAACACTGTATATATTAGGAAAGCTTCAAACACCAAACTTGCAATGACACTCAAATTGCTTATGAATTCGACATGGGGATATTCCATTAAGAAAACCTCAAAGAGATGAAGAGTAAACATTATGAGAAGGTCGACAACTTTGTTGAAAGGTTTTCTCCTTTTGTTTTGAAGTACGAATTCACTCAAGGTCAAAGTGGCTTAGTAAACCACATTAAAACCTATTGTCGAACATTGGTCTTACCCTCAGTTCGCAAAGGCAGTCCTTGACAACTACAACAAATTCTTCTCCGAAGTCAAATCCAAAGTGAAGGTTTACTATGAAACATTGACCACTCATGACGAACGAAGAAGGATACAACAAACTCATTGAAATGGGAATGGTCGGTGAAAAGATGGGCTGTTTTAAGCTAGAAAGGTATTTCCGAAGTTCATGTAATATCGAAAAGGAAATATTGGGCATACTTGAAGACGGCACAGAAATAAAACATTGCATGAAGTAAAAACGTTTTCAAAAAAGTGACATTTTTTATTTTATTTGAAATGTACGCTGAGTTGTTGGAGAAGACCGTTGGGAAACTTGTTTGTTAGATGAGAAATATGAAATGGCATACCATTTTAAAACAATATATTTTTACATATATTAAATGCTTCAGGTTGAAAAACAAAGAACAAAAGTAGCAGATACAAAAACCGTTAGACTATATCTTTACAAATGCTGGTAGGACTATTTCAGATGAAGAAATTTCATCCCGAGCATACAGGTTTGACTATCCAATTCGTTGGCTTCAAAGTCCTTCAGATGCAAAGGCAATAGGATTTAGAAGAGTTTGTTTTCAAATAGAACTAACGCATTTATGTTCGCAGTATATTTCATGGGCAGTATAAAGGTTCTGATGGTCTAATAGACAAATTTGACGAAATGAGAATCTTTACAGTTCGTTCAGACGAAAGTCTTGAGAAAACTCTAAATGACTTTCAAACTCAAATGAACAAATATTATTGGAATTCAGAGAAAATACGACTCTTACTAAATGGAACATACTATCTGAAACTAGAATATGACAAGATGAACTCCACCGTTTCATTTCAAAAGATTGAAATTAACCCTCCAAGAGATACAGGTTTTTATTTGGAAAGTAGACAAACGTTCTTGGCACAATTTCTTCGGTTACTAAACCAGAACGAACCATTACCACCAGATGGTCCATTTAAATTTATACTTCACCAGCAGATTTGACAGTTTATAGAAACGTGTTTGACCCTCAAAATGTTATGTGTCATGCAAGTTTCAGTTCAAGCAACAATAGTTTCTATGTATTGGTAAGGACTTTTATGACTTTGCTTCTAAATTCTACGAACCACCTAGTAACAGTTTCTCTGACTTTCAAGTTTGGTTCACAACAAATGGTGCAACATATTATTCCATTGTACTATGACTTTTATCTCGAATTGTCTTTCATATATAACTACGGAAAAGTGCTGAAAAAGTATTGAATGTGAGATATTAGAAAATAACATTTTTTCTAACATCGTAGAAAACTCATGAAAACAATTTATTTTAAAACTTTCACAAAAAAACATAAAAAAGTGAAGTTAAAATGAGATGTTTACTGAACTGGTTGGATGTCGCCTTCACAGTTATGTAGAATGGCTGACCCGAGAAGCGAAGAGAGACTGAATTGCCAATTTCATATGGGTAGGGGTTCTCCTTGTTTGGTATTTTATCCAAGGACGTTTGTTTAGAACTTAACAAGAGCTTCTCTTTGGCGTCCTTTATGTCGTCGAAAGGAGTGTTTTCTGGTATTTGAATTGGAATTCCAGTCGAAGTCTCGAGATTCAAGGCAGCCCTTCCAGAAATAGCGGTGAACTTGACCTTGGGCTTCATGACCTTGCGCAATAGTCTTTTACGCAGTTGTTAATTTCAATTAGTAATTGCCCTCGTCAAATCCTTCTGCATTCCGAGTCCTTCCATCCGACAGGAAAATATTTTCCCCGACAACTGGAAAAAATTTTCCGGACAAAGGGAAAAATTTTTCCCGACGACAGGAAGAACTCTTCCAGTTGTCCGTCCGTAAACCATTCAAATTTTCGAAAATTGAGAACTTTTTGGTCGAACTTCAGAAAAAGTTTTTCCTTCCGACAGGAAAAAATTTTCCGGACAAAGGGAAAAAAATTTCCTTCCGACAGGAAAAGTTCTTCCATCCGACAGGAAAAGTTTTTCCATCCGACAGGAAAAGTTCTTCCATCCGACAGGACACAAACGGATGACTGACGTCCCACCAACCGAGTCCATTCCCAAACCAGAGGAACCTAAAGAACCACAACAGTCTCCTCAGCAACCTCAGTTCCAGCAAGTACCTCCGAATTTCTACCAATTTCCACCTCAAGGTTACTACCCACCACAAGGCTTCCCGAACTACCCTCCTCAGCCTATGCCTTACTTCCCCAACCCTTGGATGTTCCAGCAAGCTCCACCCCAGCAATCTCAATCTCAGTCCAAATCGAAGAGAGACCAAGACTTCGAAGAAGGTCTGAACCGTTTACGCAAAGAGTACGCTACAGCCCCTATTGAGAGAAAGTTGTTCCCGGACCAAAAATATAATTTAGGTGAAGAGGTGAGATCTCACCTGTTTTTTCACCTCTTTTTTCACCTCGTGAATTTTCATGAATTTTCATGAATTTTATATATTAATGTTTTCGTTAAGCCACTTTGTGCCGTCAGTCAGTCAGTCAGTCAATGAAATTTACACCAAAAATAATGTTTAGGTGAAGAGGTGAGATCTCACCTGTTTTTTCACCTCTTTTTTCACCTCGTGAATTTTCATGAATTTCCTTAAGATAGAAAAAATAAAGTTAGTTTTATTTTATTTATTTTTTTTTATTTTGTATAAAAGATATGATTTCAGGGATTTTTTTGACGAAGTGTCAACCTTCACTTCGTCAAAAAATAACAGTTATATAATGAAAAAGTGTCATTTTTTTTCATTTTTTTGTATTTGACGAGAATGTCAGGTAGATGGTTAGATCTAACCTCATTTCTAACCACTTTTCTAACATGGTCTAAAACTCTCGAAAATCATAAATTTTTGACATTTCCTTAAGATAGAAAAAATAAAGTTAGTTTTATTTTTTTTTATTTTTTTTATTTTGTATGTAAGAACAGAAATGTCAGTCGAAGCAAAAACATTCACGAACAAATCTAATGGCGAAACATTCACGAAAGGCACTTATAATGATATTGAAGTCTTACGTAGAGACAAGGATGGTTATATAAATGCAACAAAGATGGCAAGAGAAGCGGGAAGGTTAAACCATTTAAACAGATTTCTCAATAGTGCTAAAATGCAGGAAATTCTTGAGTTTTGGATGAAAGAATACGGTCGAGCCAAAAGTGGCTCAACCTCAAAACAAGCATTTTATGAGCTTACTAAGGGCGTTATAAATGAATTCAAAGGTATTTACATACATCCTGACCTCGTTCATTTTGTTGCTGAATGGTGCTCTGTAAAGTATGCATTTTATGTCAAAGATATTATGGACTCCATAGACAAGAAAGTTCATGAGAAATTAGATGAAGAAGAACTCGAAGATACAGTAGAGAATGCTAAACCTTTGTTCGAACAAGAAGTTAGGAAAATGCATGAAAAACAATTAGAACATGAACGTGAGATATGTTATGGTTATAGAGATTCTCCATACGAACTAGACCAATGGGAACAAGAAGATTTAAAGAGAGAATTTAGAGAATATGAACTCGCTAAGATAGCATTTGAAGCTGCAGAAAAGAAGTTAAAAGTTTGGGGTCGTTTTGTACAAAAATATTGTGAGTAAATGAACCATTTATTTTTGCTGAATTCAGCACAAAATATATTTTAGGTGAAGAGGTGAGATCTCACCCGTTTTCTCACCTGTTTTCTCACCCTCATGAATTTGTCATGACTTCTTCGTAAATGTTTTGTCATGACTTCTTCGTAAATGTTTTGTCAAGACTTCTTCGTAAATGTTTTGTCAAGACTTCTTCGTAATGAGTGTAAAGGACCCAAAAATATATTTTAGGTGAAGAGGTTAGATCTAACACGTTTTCTAACACGTTTTCTAACCTCTTGAATTTTCATGAATTTCCTTAAGATAGAAAAAATAAAGTTAGTTTTATTTTATTTATTTTTTTTATTTTGTATAAAAGACATGATTTCAGGGATTTTTTGACGAAGTGCAAACCTTCACTTCGTCAAAAAATAACAGTTATATAATGAAAAAGTGTCATTTTTTTGTATTTGACGAGAATGTCGGGTAGATGGTTAGATCTCACCTCTTCACCTAAAATATATTTTTATTGAATTCAGCAACAAAATTCTGAGTAAAATGGCATATGGCTTGTGTCAAACCGTTGAGTTTTCACAAAATTTAAAAAATAACGTTTACCATGTGAAACGTTTATAAAATAACTTGGGTGAAAAATTAGGTGAGAAAACGGGTGAGATCTCACCTCTTCACCTAAACATTATTTTTGCTGAAAAATGACCAAATTTCATGAATTTCCTCATATGCTTGCTTCCCTCGGAAAACCGAGAGAAGAGATTCCGTATGAAAATCGTGAAGAACAGCGAGTAAGTAAAAAACCGCAGTCGCCAAAACTCTATGAAAACAGTGAAGAACAGCGAGTAAGTAAAAAACCCCAGTCGCCAAAACTCTATGAAAACAGTGAAGAACAGCGAGTAAGTAAAAAACCCCAGTCGCCAAAACTCTATGAAAATCGTGAAAAATTGCCAAACGGTTTGAGAGGATATTATGTACATAGACTTCTCGTAAATGCTGTTGCAATGTGGGCTTCGCCTCGTTATGCTTGGTATATTTACAGACTTCTTGACGAAATTCATAGACAAGAACGTGAAGAGATGGAAAACAAGCTTGAAGCAAAAGATGAAGTCATTCAGAAAAGAATACCACGTTCGGTACCAAAAGGAAAGGAAAAGAACTATAAGTATATGATATATACTGAAGAGATGGAAAATGAAGAAGACAGAGATATGGTTATGTTGCATTTAGTCAGAAGAAACAACAAAAGCTTTTACGACCTTGCTAAGATTTACAAATCTGACAGAAATTGGTTCTATCGCGAAAACTTACCGATTTCAATGACACCGAATGAAGATGTGAAACAAATAGTTCAAGATACGTTACCTCAAACACACTATGATATGAAAGGTTGTACAATACTTACCTTCAAAGAAGATTTGCCGCTACTGAAGGAAAAAATAACAGAGTATTTTGACAACTTCAAACAAGCAGAGTAAATGAACTCTTTATTTTTATTGACTTTTTACAATTTGAACTTTGTTTGCGTAGATATGAATTCTGAAAGAAGTATGAGGGTCTTGTATGACTTTGTACTTCTCCCATAGTTCATGTCTGTCAAACTTACCTGCCATGGACTCTTTCATAAGTTCCATGAAATCGTCTTCGGACAATCCGGGGAAAAGTATAATGTCAGTAAGTATTCTTTTAACATCCTTACTTAAACTCTTGGCTGTCTGTACACATATTACGACTGAAATGTTAAAGTGTCTGAGCTTCTTAAGAATTCGACACATATCTTGTTCTCTGTTCTTTAACAAAGGATGAGAGGCGAAATCATCTAAGATAAGAAGACATCTATGAGGGTACGTTTTCCAATCGTACGATTGCAATTTCTTCGAAATGTATTCTATCTCTTTCTGTTTGTTTCTGAAGTGTTTCTTCTCTAATATTCTCTGCATTTCCTCATTTGGGTCTTTAAACTTAGAATTTATATACTCATTTATAGCATTATACTTCAAAACTCTTCTTTGGTATTTCTTTATCCAATCTAACAACTCAGTATCCTTTATACATACTAACTTAGACTTCTTTATAATATCTTTGAACGAATTGACGGTTTGGTCAAATTGACCCGAAGTACTACAAATGACAACTAACTCATAGAATGGGTTCTTCTCAGCTAGTTCTTGTTGTTGTGCAGCCATTTTAAGATAAGTGAAAGTCTTACCCGACCCAGGTAGTGCAATTAGACCTGTTATACCATTCTGAGCAAATAAGAACTTGTCATGTATAGGTTTTATCTGAGCATTTTCTAACTTCCTCTTGTTCTTGTTTAAAACATTCTCAAATTTCTTGTCAATGTCAGCAAACTTTTTTTCTAACATATTTTTAGAAAAATTAAAATTTTTATCTTTTAGAAAATGTCTAGCGATTTCGCTATCTATATTCGAGACAAACTTTTTGACAGCAAAACATCTGTCGACCATAAAATCTTACATAGTGTAAACAAGAAAGGTGAATTTGTTCTAAAGTTCTGTTTCTGGGAATATGACAAGAACCATAAAACATTAAGCAGAGCAGTCTTAAAATTTGTCAATGACAGACTTGTTGACAGAGATGACGCCGATTGGAAAGATGAAGTCCAACAAAAGTTCTTAGAATGCAAAGAAGACACATGCGCTGTTCTTGAAGATGAAATAGAAAACAGAATAGAAGAGCTATTAAAGGACAAAGAACTTTTACATAAATATGGTTCGGAGAAATTTGACATAACTCCACCAGAAAAGAAGAAGAAAGAAAAGAAAGTAGAAGAAGAGAAGAAAGAACCTGAACCAGTTCCAGAGAAAAAGAAATTTGACATGTAAAAATAAAATTTTATTTTTAGAACATTTCTGGGTCAATGTCAATGTTCTCTTCCTCTTTAGGAGCAAACACTGGCTTAGACTCTAAAATCCTTTTACCCAATTTACCTTGAACTTCTACAACTTTAGACTCATAATATTCATAGTCGTCTGCTTTCTTTGGTTCATAAGGTATAACAAGTTTGTATGCTTTGCCTTCTTTAAGGTTTGAAAACCTTCTGTCAAAACTTTCTTTGACTGCTAACAAACCTTCTATGTCTAAGTCTTCAAATTTCGCACCGTTTTTAGTCACAATAGCAAACTTAACTATGGCATTCCAAACGGGAACCGCGGTTGGTTACCATGGATTTCCGTCACCGGTCACATTTTAAAGATTTTTAAAGCCTTATAAAAATATGCTTTGTAAATCATTTTTTGTAAATCGGCAAAAATTTGGTAATTTTCTTCAACTAATAAATCTGCGAATAGCATTTATAATACAAGAACAATCTTTTAAAATGCGTTTGATTCATTTTTGTATAATTTCATATAGGCACATATATTCTTCCGGGACTTTCCGTGATTTTACCGTAAAATCATTAGTTTACACCAATTTTCCCGTATTTTGAATAGTTTACTGCACTTTTTCCGTAAAATTGAGTTACGGGAATCCGCAAAATTTCCGGACCTCATTTTTCATAGAATATAATAATAATATTTGATAAAAAGATATATTATTTATATTTTTGATTTTTGAATTACGGAAAAAGTGAATTGTTAACTTGATTTTTTTATATGGTTAATTTTTCAAATGATATTATGAAGATCTAAAATATTAAAAGTAAAAAATTGAATTACGGAAAAAGTGAGGTCAAAAGTGAAATAAATTTGCAGAACAATTTTCATTGAAATAAGACATTGAGTATCACACTTTAGTGAATCAACATCTATAAGAATGAAGTGTTTTGAAGCTGAAATAATATTGAATAGAAATTAATTTTTTCTGAAATTTTGAATGAAATTATGGGAAATAAAAAAATTACTAAATATTGTATTCATACAAATATATTATTTTAAAGGAAAAATAGATGCTGATAGAAACGATGAAAAATTTTGAAAACTTTACAATTAATTTATGTTCGTTAACCACAGAGCTTGCAATCCAAAGCTCACGTTAGACTACAAGAGTCATGAAGTCTCATACTAAGGGATATCCAACATATATTTTAATAATCTAATGTTTGTGACAAATATTCAACATAAAATTAAGTTTTCGTTTCGTTACAAGGCATTCATACTTTGGAGATATCATATTTAATGTACAGAAAAGTTAATATTAAACAATACATGCTAAAGAATTAATAAATAAGATAATAAAATAAATTTATACGTAATTACTTTCATTTAATATGCTTTATGCTGTATAATATTGATTAAGAGGCATTAAAAGGTTCCATAGTCTGCTTTTATAGGCAAGATTTTTGATAAAAATTTAAAATTTTGAAAAATGATGAGAAAAGGAAAAAAAAGGTAAATGAGAGCAAGAGGAGGGAAAAAAAAGAAAAAGAAAAGAAAGGGAAGGGAAAAATAAAAGAAAGAAGGACATATAAAAATTTAGATGCGCATTCTTAATGCCGAGGCGGCTTGCCGCCGAGGCGCGATTTTTTTAGGCCTCTACGGTAACCCGGCAATGTTTTTTTAAATCTTGTACAGCCCTAAACTTAACTGGTTCGATGTTCCAAACTTTACTGAATGAAGACTTTTCAAAATGGTAGAAATAAACATTCAAATATGTGAATGGGTCTAGTTCTTCTTTAAGTCCTGACATGTACTTGTTTACTGAGATGAATTTTGTCATCTTTTCTATCGGATAAAAAAATATATTTTTTTAAATTTACTCAGAAAAATTTTTCTTTGTATATATACCATTCTGAACATCTAAAAGACTTTTGACATTTGCCAAGAATGTTCGTTTAGACGCTGTCATATAACCATATTCTTGACAATATTGTTTATACGAATCGTACAATGACCTTTCATCTAATGACACAAAGTCAGTTTCATCTATGAACAGTTCATATACACTCTTGTTTGCTTCTAACAATGTTTGTCTCTCTTCGGTATGTGGAATTTGTCTTGGATTGAACTTAGAAATATCTAATGTCATAAAGTATGAGAACAAGTGGTTGTAAAAGTCAGATGTCAAACATTCTGACAAAGCGTCAAAATATTCTGTATCTTGCATATGAGCTTCTGACGTTCTGACAACTACATATCTTCTGTCAGAACTTTCTAACTTCATCGGAACAGCATTGTTTGAAACCATAATGAAGTTTGCAACATTTTCACAAACTCTTTGGTCTTTATACTTTCTTTCAACAACTCCAACTTTGTCTGTTATAAGACTCTTCAAAGCATCTGAGTTTAAAACTTTTGTTGTATCTATACTTTGAAGTTCGTTACAAACTATAAGTTTCATATTCTCAATTGAAGAGTTAAATTTACCGCAGATGTTTTCTAAGTTTGTCATATTCGGATTCGAATAGCCCTCTAACAGTTTGCACAAGATATCTGTAAAGAATGTGTTCTTACCTGTTCCTTGTTTTCCAATTATAATGAGAGCAGTTTCATTTTTAGCACTTGGATGTTGTAAGATGTTTGCAAACCAACATAAGATATACTCATAAACCTTTTCGTTTCCATTGCATATAATTTCTTTGACATGGTCTAACCAAGCTTCTATAATATTTTCTTTCCATTCTACTTGTTCGTATTTATATCCAGTGAAGATAGAATAGAAGTTTGGAGAAGGTGTATAGAACTTTATACCACGAACTGAAAAATCTTCTAACTTTGACAATAAGATATCCCAAGCATCTAACATCTTCATTCCAACTTGTACGACTTTTATTTTCTTAAGTTTCTGTCTACATTCTTGTTCTGAAACTATTGTCGCTTTAGGTTTGTTAAAGACTACATCCCATTCTTTCATAACATAACATTCTGGGGCAGAGTCGACATAAATGACTAAACGTTTCAAATTCTCGACTGCTTTGTTATAGTCTCGAAATGGACACATATTTCTGAATGCTTGGAAGTCATAAAAATCTGAAACATCTATTCTGTACATTTTTATAAAAATAAAAAAAAATAATATTTTTTTTATTCTTGACTTTGTTGTTCCATTTGTTGCATTTGTTGTTCTTGAGCTATTTGTTGTTGAAGTTGTTCTTGTAATACAATACTTTCACCAGTTGCATCTTCCAATTCGAAACTTTCTGCCGTCATTGACAAATACATAGGACATAAAAGTTTTACAGGAACAAAGTTTGCGTCAACTAATGTCAACGTTATACTTGCCAAAGTGTTTGAGTTCACTAAGGTTGAAAATTCTGCATTCGAATGAACAATAGGCAAACCAGCAGAGAAAGTATTGTTTTACGCATAAGTATCTTTTGGTCATAATAGTTTCTGTCGACATTCGAATAACACTTTGAACCTAAGTTTGAAACAATATATAAGATTGGTGTGCTTAATGTCAATGGAATAGACATTCCTTGTATGACACCTTTTCCTGTTATAGGAAACTGTTGGTAGTAAAAACCAGAAATAAGTTTTGTATTATAGCTCATATCGTTTATAGTAAACTCAGTCGGACATCCAAACATAATGAAACCTGCTCTAGTTGCAGCACATGTTACACCCGTACTTAAAGTATTAAATAAGTCAACAAAACCTGTTGGTGGTATATCTGAGTAAGTATCTTCAAAGGAGTATTTTTTACCATTCACAACAATAAAGTCTTCTGGTGTCAAAAGAGCAAAACAGGCTTTAGTCGTCATTGTGTTTAAGGTTAGTTTACAATATCGTCCTTGAGGACTTTGTAAGTTTGTTGTTATAGAATTATATGACTCAGGGTTTTTAGTCGTAATAGTATAAACCATTATGTCTTCTGCCATTTATATATATTTAAAAGTTTTTCTGAAAGTGGAGAAGAACTTCATCTAAACTTTCGCATGGCGTTTCTTGAAGTTCTCTGTCTAAGAAGTTCAAATATTTTGTAAAGACATAGAACTTTCCTTTGTCTACACGAACAAACAAAACAGGGTCTTTCATATCGTTCAAAAGTGTGTAAAGTCCTTTACATGAAATAAAGTCTATATTATTTTTCTTCAAACATCTTTCAAGAAGTTTTGACATTTTTACTTAGCAAATAAACTTTAATGAAATGTTGTGGTCGTCAAATATTTTTATGACGTCTGGGAAACTATATTTTAAGTTCAACGTTTCACCTCCTTTCATAACGTATATCTTGTCAATGACATTATATGAAACACCACAGCAACTAATGTCGGGTTCTATTTCTTTGACGTTTATATCGTCTGCCTCTGTCAAAAGTTTCAATAGTTCTTTCAAAACTTCATGAGGTGCAATGACATATGAGTTCACTTTTACAGGGTTGTGTTCGACCAAGTTTAACATTATACTTAAAGCTTGACAAATCTTCTCCTGAGTTTGAAGTTTGTCTTTCAGTTGTTGGTAGTCGTTTCGAATATCTGCAACAGAACTTAAGTCTCTGCTAACTTCAGGATATGTTGGTTCTTTTACAGGAACAATTGTTATACCATCTTCGTCTTCGTATGGTTTCCCCACTTCAACATCTCTGTCTTTGACATTGACAATAACACTTTGACTGTTTGTTTGAGTTGGTGAATTTAACTTCACATCTGCCACCGCCATTAAACCTTTTGAAACACTCACGCTTCTATTTTTCGGAAATGACATTTTACTTCGAATAAAAAGATGGACGTATTCGGATATCTCTTTGAATTGAAGCAGAACAAAGTTTACACACACAAACAATACAAATACATTGACAGAATAGTTCTTTATACAAACAATGGTAAATGTTATAGAATAGCAATATTTGCTGAACCAAAATATTTCCATAAAGCAAAGAAAGTTGGTATAACTGAAATGGTGAAAGTTCTTGAAGCAGACAAAAATATAACTTCAAAACTTACAGATATTTCTAAAGGTAAGTTTATAATACAATATTATGTCAAAACTGGTGTACTGTCAATATTTGACGGAGAGAAGTCAGTTCAAGAACAACTTACTGACCTGCTGCCAAAATCTGCTCGATGGAAGCTGTCGTTATGCCAATCTGAGGAGCCCCAGCAGGTTTCATCGAACGAATCTTCAAAAGAGCATCTTCCGTGAAAAGTGCTATTGGTTTTGTAAACTTCTTTGCTCTCAATTCATCTGGACCGTCTCTGTCACCAGTATATTGTATTTGTACAGTACCAACAGTTGAAATACCACCCATAAAGTCTTCTGAGTCAGCAAATGGAATGCCAAGCCAAAAGTTTGAACGGTCTCCATTTGTATATTGAGTTTTTTGACCTCCTGTATGAGTCCATACTTTCACATATGGCATAATAGAACTTTGCATTTCAGGGTTAATGGTTGTTGTGAAGTTGTTGTTAAAGTTCATAGCATCTAATGTCAAGTTGTATGACCTCATATCCTCAACTGTAGAATATTCTTCTCTTGGATAATATTTGCCATCTATGTTTATATGATATTTAATACCAGGGTTGTAGAAACAAGAATAGTCATTTATAGTTCGTCTGAACAGTACAAACATAGTATCTGCATGTTTCATTGCAGTTGTTAAAGCAATATCTGTTCTTGCACCTGGGTCAGCACTTTGGTTTCCAACTTCACCTGCAAAGTCTTTGACAGATATTTGGTGTATAGGGAACATAAGTGGAACTGCAATATATTTGGCAGCTAAAGCATTTGAAATATCTGGGTCCAACATATAGACTGCAAGTCTGCTTTCTATTCTCTTGCATTCAAATTTTTCGCATGTAAACTTAACTGGGTCCCAAGCATCTCCAGCAGCATTGAAATAATAGTTTACTTCAGTGTTGAGGTTTAAGAAACCAAAGTCTAAGTCAACTTTGTCTTTGCAAAATTCGGCGAATGACGTTTTATTTGTTCCCTTTACGTCTGTAAGAGTGAATGGGTCTTGTGTTGGTGCAATGACTAAGTTATTTTTGCTTGGAGTAAGTTCGATAGAAATTTTTCCTGCCCAGTTTGGCAAGTATCTTAAAAACCTGAAGATGAGGAAAGATGACAAAGGAACTCTAAGTTTCAGTTTTACTTTAGTGGCAGCAGTTCCATCTGAACCAGAAAGGTTAACATAAACTCCTGGAACGTTAGGGTCAAGTCTTCTTATTTTCTCAATAGTTGCATACTGGTCTGTTTGTTCTCTAGCTTGTGGTTGTACTGAGTTTCTCAAAGCGAACCATTCATAGTTTGCCCATGTTACTGTTTGAACTAAGTCAGAGTTAGAATATATCTTATATCCCATGAAAACTTCGGGAGCATATTGGTATCCGACATAGAAAATTCCATTGCAACCTTTCTTGTCAGACAACTTGGAAGAAGGTTTTATTTCAATGTCTTGTTCCACGTATAAGAATGAGTTGTCAATAGAAATAATATGAAACCTGTCGCAAGCAATATCTACTGTTGTTGAAGAACCTTCTCCAAACTCACCTACGTTTCCATAAGAAACAGCAGTTGTATATTCGTAAGTTCCAGGAACTATTTCTGACCTTCTAATGGCATTGTCGCATTCGTTATACCATTCGGAAACATTTCCGTTCATGGCATCCAAAACTGTTGGCGTTATATTCTGAGCGGCGTACATTTCATATGGGTAAAAATATAGAATAGTTGAATTTATGTGTCATAATAGAACCCACTCGGACCAAGCTTTACTTTCTTCCTGACTGAGTTTTTAACTGAATCTTTAACTCTTCTTTTTCCTTCATTGCCACTACTTTCACTAGATGAAGTTACTTCTTCACTACTTTCACTTTGTTCTACTATTCTCTTCTTCTTTGGTGTCGCTTTTGGTAACTTGCCCTCTGCTTCAAGTTGTTGCATCTTTGCCTCATGTTCACCTAGTATGTTGTAAATTTCCCATGTCCTTTTTGCCTTTGGGCTCTGGTCGCCCATCTCAGGTAACCTATATCCTAGAAAGATTTTGCCATAGTTTGTATTTGAGTCTTCGCGTATTGTTTGCATGACTCTTTCCTGAGTTTCCGGTTCAAGCTCTTCAAACAGAGCTTGTCCATATGGAATAAGCTCGTTTCCAAATATATGTTTTTGTAGCCATTCTGGTTTTCTTTCCATGTTACCAACTATATCTTTTGTGAATGGGAAAGCTTTTACCCAATCTTTCAGTCTTGCGTCGTTTATTTCTGTAGTTGGTTTTATTTTGTCAAGGAACATGTTTTTCAATACTAACATTTCATTTGGTACTGTCCATTTGAGTTTTCTTAAATATTCATCCCTTCTCAGTTCATTGTCTGCAAAGTAAGTTTTTATGACATTTTGCAAACTTTCGTTTGCAAGGTCATGTACAATAGGTTCTCTTCCTTCTCTCTCCCTAACTTTCTTTCTAAACTCTTCACCAAATATACCATCTCTATGGTTCTGTGTAGTTCTTTGAGATAAATGTTCTAGAACGTCAGGTGTTATATTTCCATCAGCCATGTTCATTTCATACTGGTCCAAAATATCTGCATCTTTCATATCTTTCAATGGCATTAAAGCCGCGCTGAAAATACCAGCCATATCTGGTTCACCATTCACTTCCATTGCGTCTACAACTTCTTGGAATTGAGGTTGTAAGTTTATGAACCACCTATCCGGATTAGCTTTATGACCCCATCTCATTGTAGTTCCATAGTCTGCAGAAACAAAAGTAGGTTTGTTTCCATATTGGTTAGGTTCTGAATGAACTTTAAACAATGTTTCATTTCTATATGTTTTGTTGAAATTTAACCTTTTATTTTCACCGAGTTCATCCAAAGATTGAACGTTATATGCTCGTAAGTAAAAAGGATTATTGTATTTGTGTACATTTTCTTTCAGTACTTCCATTCTATGCTGAATATTTTCATCTGATGTTGGAGTCTTTTGTATGTCGGCGAACATTTTTCGATATTCTTCTACCATGTCAGCCGAATTTTTCTTAGACTCTTGGACAGATTCCATATTCTCCGCATACACTTGTTGAGGGTCAAGATTTTTCGGCTGTTCCAAATCTTCATCTAGTTCTGTGAAGTTAGTTTCCAAAGGAGGGATTTGTTCGTTTCCTTCAGGCTCTTCTAGCTGTTGTTGCTGAACTATTTCTTCCATGTCTGGTTGTATCTGAACTTCTTCCTGTGGAGTTTCTTGTACCTCATCTGGTGGCATTTCATATATTCCGAGACCGTTTTTAAAAAGTTCCTTATCTAAGTCATCCGGACTCATAAACCTTTCTTCTTTCGTTCCGTCTCTATTTTTTACGCGTTTCATGAAGATAGTTGAATTATCATTTATCTCTGACACCAAATATCTCGGAGTAAATTCATTCATGTCATTTGGATGATATGCTATTAAATCATATCCCTTAGCGAGCTTGTATTTTCCAGGTTTGAAATTATATCCCATTTGGTGCTGAACCATAAAGCTAAATAGGTTCGGGTCAGTATTTCCTTCCTTGAACTTTCTAATAGCTTCTTTATATCTGTCACTAAAGTCAAGAGTATCTGGGTAACCATAATCTTCCTTAAGCATTTTTAAGAATTCTTGGTTTCCTTGTTCTCTACTTCTTTTATGTCCTTGCTCTGTTTGTGGTTGTTGCTGTGCAGTGTTTTGAACTGTTGGTTGTTGTGCAGGGTTTTGAACTGTTGGTTGTGGTGCAGTGTTTTGAACTGTTGGTTGTGGTGCTGGATTTTGAACTGTTGGTTGTGGTGCTGGATTTTGAACTGTTGGTTGTTGTGTTGGTTGTTGTGTTGGTTTTGGTGCATGCCTGTGTCTGTGTCCATGTGACGATGTAAATGTTTTAGGTAGTCCTGGTGCAGGTGCTTCTCTTGGAGGGTTTGGTGGTATATAAGTTCCACTAGCTAGTATATAAGTTCCACCAGCTGGTATATAAGTTCCACCAGCTGGCACATATGTTCCATCTGCAGCATAATGTCCTACCTGACTTTTCGTTCTTAAGAAAGCATTTACTAGGTCTGTTTTGGTCTGTTGTAACTCTTTTTCTTGACTTTCCACAACAGTTGCTCTAACGGCGTCATAGGCACTTTGAACTGCCTGTCTCGTTGCTGCATCTGTTATTTTCGTCATATTTTGTGCTACTTCTCTTAACTCTTTGTCGAAACCTTCAGACTTCAGTTTCTTTCCAGATGAGAAGTCGTTCACTAGTTTCACCTTACTATGAAGAGCTTCGAAGGCGTTCTTAAAGTCAGCATTCATTAAAGCTTCATTTGAACTGTCTTCATCCGCTTGTATTTTTGTCCTTATTGACCCTATAAGTTGGGCTGCTTTAGCGTTGGCTTGGGCATCTAACCAGTCATTATTAGCTTTTATATATTCTGCGCTTTTCATTGCCCTTTGCATGGCTGCGTCGTTATTTTTACTTTCTTGTGCTAAGTTTTCATACTGTACGGTTTGGTTTTGCAACTGTAAAAGTTTTTCTGCCTTTACATTTGCTTCAACTTCTTTTTTATACTCATCGCTATCCATATATGTCTTCAGGGCTTTTTGTTTTATCTCTTCATCTTTCAGTACTTTATATTGAGTAGTATGGTTTTTCAAATTTATAACATCTTGTTCCATTTTTGCTACTTCTGCTGCTTTTTTTGACACTTTTTTCGCATATTCCTCTGTACTTAGTTCTTTCAGTTGTTCTTCTTTCTTCTTTTTCTCTACGTTTAACTCATTGAGTTTCTTTGTGTGTCTGTCATATTCTAGTTTCTTTTCGTTTTTCACTTATTTGTTTCTGTATGTCTATGTTTGACTTTTGACATCTGTTATTTGATTTTTGAGTGAACTCAAATTCATTTGACTTTGAGGGTTATAAGCTGTTCCGTCTGCAGCTCCACCATAGCCTGCCATTTTCGCTAAAAGTGCCGCTCTTAAACCTCCACTCTGTGCACCAATAACTCGGTTTAAAAGCATAGGGTTGCTTGACATTTGTTGCAACATAGTGGGGTCATTCATCATTTGTTGTTGCAACTGTTGTTGTGGTGTCAGTTTTACTATTGGATGTTTCAATGCTCCCTTCCTCTTACGTATATTCTTACGTAGCTTACGTGCATTTTAAGTGAAGTTAAAAAGCGGTTTTTGACAGATGTTTATATGACATTTTGTTCAGCACAAAAAACTACTCGGTCAAAGTGTTGTCAGTTTTGTAAAATAACCGTCTTATCTCATTCTATAAGGGGAAAAAGGCTTCTCAAAGTATACTTCCTTGGAACGCCCGTAACTTTTCCTGTAGCGACGATAGACCCTTACTTGTCCGGACAAAGTTATACTATTTTGAGCGCTCTACAAAAAAGTCAACGGCTGGCTCGTCCTCAGAAATTTTTTATGGGCTAGAGGGCGCAACGCGCCTGGAAGCCCTCCGAATAAAAACTTCATTTATACTAAACATCTTCAGGGCTAGAGGGCGCAACGCGCCTGGAAGCCCCACTACCTTTTTTTTTAATTCAAAGAAAAAAAAAAAAAAAAAAAAAAGGTATTGGGGCTTCCAGGCACTTCGTGCCTTCTAGCCCTGAAGATGTTTAGTATAAATGAAGTTTTTATTCGGAGGGCTTCCAGGCGCGTTGCGCCCTCTAGCCCATAAGAAATTTTTCCCAAGACCCAAGAGGAGGACCGAACCCCAGCCGACCAGCCGTTGACTTTTTTGTCAAGATTTCATCGTAAATGTTTTGTCAAGATTTCATCGTAAATGTTTTGTCAAGATTTCATCGTAAATGTTTTGTCAAGACTTCTTCGTAAATGTTTTGTCAAGACTTCTTCGTAAATGTTTTGTCAAGACTTCTTCGTAATGAGCGTAAAGGACCCAAAAATAATGTTTATGTTAGAATGTTAGATCTAACATGTTTTCTAACATGTTTTCTAACATGGTCTAAAACTCTTGAATTTTCATGAAATTTACAGCAAAAATAATGTTTATGTTAGAATGTTAGATCTAACATGTTTTCTAACATGTTTTCTAACATGGTCTAAAACTCTTGAATTTTCATGAAATTTACAGCAAAAATAAAGTTTATGTTAGAATGTTAGATCTAACACGTTTTTTCACCTCTTTTTTCACCTCTTGAATTTTCATGACTTCTTCGTAAATGTTTTGTCAAGACTTCTTCGTAATGAGTGTAAAGGACCCAAAAATAAAGTTTATGTTAGAAAACATGTTAGAAAAGGTGTTAGATCTAACATTCTAACATAAACATTATTTTTGGGTGTAAATTTCATGAGTTTTGTATGTTTTCTACGATGTTAGAAAACGTGTTAGAAAACATGTTAGATCTAACATTCTAACATAAACATTATTTTTGGGTCATTTACGAAGAAATCTCAACAAAGTCTTTACGAAGAAGTCACAATAAAACATCTGTCAAAAGCCGCTTTTTAACTTCACTTAAAATGCCACGTAAGCTACGTAAGAATATACGTAAGAGGAAGGGAGCATTGAAACATCCAAAAGTAAAACTGACACCACAACAACAGTTGCAACAACAAATGCTGAATGACCCCACTATGTTGCAACAAATGTCAAGCAATCCTATGCTTTTAAACCGAGTTTTTGGTGCACAGAGTGGAGGTTTAAGAGCGGCACTTTTAGCGAAAATGGCAGGCTATGGTGGAGCTGCAGACGGAACAGCTTATAACCCTCAAAGTCAAATGAATTTGAGTTCACTCAAAAATCAAATAACAGATGTCAAAAAGTCAAACATAGACATACAGAAGCAAATAAGTGAAAACGAAAAGAAACTAGAATATGACAGACACACAAAGAAACTCAATGAGTTAAACGTAGAGAAAAAGAAGAAAGAAGAACAACTGAAAGAACTAAGTACAGAGGAATATGCGAAAAAAGTGTCAGAAAAAGCAGCAGAAGTAGCAAAAATGGAACAAGATGTCATAAATTTGAAAAACCATACTACTCGATATAAAGTACTGAAAGATGAAGAGATAAAACAAAAAGCCCTGAAGACATATATGGATAGCGATGAGTATAAAAAAGAAGTTGAAGCAACTGTAAAGGCAGAAAAACTTTTACAGTTGCAAAACCAAACCGTACAGTATGAAAACTTAGCACAAGAAAGTAAAAATAACGACGCAGCCATGCAAAAGGCAATGAAAAGCGCAGAATATATAAAAGCTAACAATGACTGGTTAGATGCCCAAGCCAACGCTAAAGCAGCCCAACTTATAGGGTCAATAAGGACAAAAATACAAGCGGATGAAGACAGTTCAAATGAAGCTTTAACAAATGCTGACTTTAAGAACGCCTTCGAAGCTCTTCATAGTAAGGTGAAACAAGTGAACGACTTCTCATCTGGAAAGAAACTGAAGTCTGAAGGTTTCGACAAAGAGTTAAAAGAAGTAGCACAAAATATGACGAAAATAACAGATGCAGCAACGAGACAGGCAGTTCAAAGTGCCTATGACGCCGTTAGAGCAACTGTTGTGAAAAGTCAAGAAAAAGAGTTACAACAGACCAAAACAGACCTAGTAAATGCTTTCTTAAGAACGAAAAGTCAGGTAGGACATTACGCTGCAGATGGAACATATGTGCCAGCTGGTGGAATTTATATACCACCAAACCCTCCAAGAGAAGCACCTGCACCAGGACTACCTAGAACATTTACATCGTCACATGGACACAGACACAGGCATGCACCAAAACCAACACAACAACCAACAGTTCAAAAACCAGCACAGCAACCAACAGTTCAAAATCCAGCACAACAACCAACAGTTCAAAATCCAGCACAACAACAACCACAAACAGAGCAAGGACATAAAAGAAGTAGAGAACAAGGAAACCAAGAATTCTTAAAAATGCTTAAAGAAGAGTGTGGTTTCCCAGATAGTATTGACTTTAGTGACAGATATAAAGAAGCTATTGGAAAGTTCAAGGATGGAAATACTGACCCGAACCTATTTAGCTTTATGGCTCAGCACCAAAACGGATATAATCTCAAACCTGGAAAATACAAGCTCGCTAAGGGATATGATTTAATAGCATATCATCCAAATGACATGGATGAATTTACTCCGAGATATTTGATGTCAGAGCTAAATGACAATTCAACTTTCGTCATGAAACGCGTAAAAAATAGAGACGGAACGAAAGAACAAAAGCTTATGAATGCGGATGACGTAGATAGGGAAATTGTTGAAAACGGTCTCGGAATATATGAAATGCCAGCAGATGAGGTACAAGAAACTCCACAGGAAGAAGTTCAGATACAACCAGACATGGAAGAAATAGTTCAGCAACAACAGCTAGAAGAGCCTGAAGGAAACGAACAAGTCCTTCCTTTGGAAACTAACTTCACAGAACTAGATGAAGATTTGGAACAGCCGAAAAATCTTGACCCTCAACAAGAGTATGCGGAGAATATGGAATATTTCCAAGAGTCTAAAAAAAATTCGGCTGACATAGTAGAAGAATATCGAAAAATGTTTGCCGACATACAAAAGACTCCAACACCAGATGAAAATATCCAGCATAGAATGGAAGAACTGAAAAAAAAATGTACACAAATACAACAACCCTTTTTACTTACGAGCATTTAACGTTCAATCTTCGGATGAACTCGGTGAAAATAAAAGGTTAAATTTCAAGAAAACATATAGAAATGAAACATTGTTTAAAGTTCATTCAGAACCTAACCAAGATGGAAACAAACCTACTTTTGTTTCTGCAGACGATGGAACTACAATGAGATGGGGTCATAAAGCTAACCCGGATAGGTGGTTCATAAACTTACAACCTCAATTCCAAGAAGTTGTAGACGCAATGGAAGTCAATGGTGAACGAGACATAGCTGGTATTTTAAGCGCGGCTTTAATGCCATTGAAAGATATGAAACATGCAGATATTTTGGACCAGTATGAAATGAACATGGCTGATGGAAATATAACACCTGACGTTCTAGAACATTTATCTCAAAGAACTACACAGAACCATAAAGATGGTATATTTGGTGAAGAGTTTAGAAAGAAAGTTAGGGAGAGAGAAGGAAGAGAACCTATTGTACATGACCTTGCAAACGAAAGTTTACAAAATGTCATAAAAACTTACTTTGCAGACGATGAATCGAGAAGGGATGAATATTTAAGAAAACTCAAATGGACAGTACCAAATGAAATGTTAGTATTGAAAAACATGTTCCTTGACAAAATAAAACCAACTACAGAAATAAACGACGCAAGACTGAAAGATTGGGTAAAAGCTTTCCCATTCACAAAAGATATAGTTGGTAACATGGAAAGAAAACCAGAATGGCTACAAAAACATATATTTGGAAACGAGCTTATTCCATATGGACAGGCACTGTTTGAAGCGCTTGAACCGGAAACTCAGGAAAGAGTCATGCAAACAATACGCGAAGACTCAAATACAGACTATGACAAACTCTTTCTAGGATATAGGTTACCTGAGATGGGCGACCAGAGCCAAAAGGCAAAAAGGACATGGGAAATTTGCAACATACTAGATGAACATAATGCAAAGATGCAACAACTTCAAGCAGAGGGCAATGAAGGAAAAAGAAGAGTTAAAAACTCAGTCAGGAAGAAAGTAAAGCTTGGTCCACGTGGGTTCTATTATGACATATAAACCCAACTATTCTATATTTTTACCCATATGAAATGTACGCCGCTCAGAATATAACGCCAACAGTTTTGGATGCTATGAATGGAAATGTTTCCGAATGGTATAACGAATGCGACAATGCCATTAGAAGGTCAGAAATAGTTCCTGGAACTTACGAATATACAACTGCTGTTTCTTATGGAAATGTAGGTGAGTTTGGAGAAGGTTCTTCAACAACAGTAGATATTGCTTGCGACAGGTTTCATATAATTTCTATTGACAACTCTTTCTTATACGTGGAACAAGACATTGAAATAAAACCTTCTGCCAAGTTGTCTGACAAGAAAGGTTGCAATGGAATTTTCTATGTCGGATACCAATATGCTCCAGAAGTTTTCATGGGATATAAGATATATTCTAACTCTGACTTAGTTCAAACAGTAACATGGGCAAACTATGAATGGTTCGCTTTGAGAAACTCAGTACAACCACAAGCTAGAGAACAAACAGACCAGTATGCAACTATTGAGAAAATAAGAAGACTTGACCCTAACGTTCCAGGAGTTTATGTTAACCTTTCTGGACAAACTGCAGCAGCAGTAACCAAAGTAAAACTGAAACTTAGAGTTCCTTTGTCATCTTTCCTCATCTTCAGGTTTTTAAGATACTTGCCAAACTGGGCAGGAAAAATTTCTATCGAACTTACTCCAAGCAAAAATAACTTAGTCATTGCACCAACACAAGACCCATTCACTCTTACAGAAGTAGTGGGAACTGGTGGAGCCAAGTTCTGTGACTTTTGCAAAGACAAAGTTGACTTAGACTTTGGTTTCTCAAACCTCAACACTGAAGTAAACTACTACTTCAATGCTGCTGGAACTGCTTGGGACCCAGTTAAGTTCACATGCGAAAAGTTTGAATGCAAGAGAATAGAAAGCAGACTTGCAGTCTATATGTTGGACCCAGATATTTCAAATGCTTTAGCTGCCAAATATATTGCAGTTCCACTTATGTTCCCTATACACCAAATATCTGTCAAAGACTTTGCAGGTGAAGTTGGAAACCAAAGTGCTGACCCAGGTGCAAGAACAGATATTGCCTTAACAACTGCAATGAAACATGCAGATACTATGTTTGTACTGTTCAGACGAACTATAAATGACTATTCTTGTTTCTACAACCCCGGTATTAAATATCATATAAACATAGATGGCAAATACTATCCAAGAGAAGAATATTCTACAGTTGAGGATATGAGGTCATACAACTTGACATTAGATGCTATGAACTTTAACAACAACTTCACAACAACCATTAACCCTGAAATGCAAAGTTCTATTATGCCATATGTGAAAGTATGGACCCATACAGGAGCTCAAAAAACTCAATATACAAATGGAGACCGTTCAAACTTTTGGCTTGGCATTCCATTTGCTGACTCAGAAGACTTTATGGGTGGTATTTCAACTGTTGGTACTGTACAAATACAATATACTGGTGACAGAGACGGTCCAGATGAACTGAGAGCAAAGAAGTTTACAAAACCAATAGCACTTTTCACGGAAGATGCTCTTTTGAAAATTCGTTCGATGAAACCTGCTGGGGCTCCTCAGATTGGTATAACGACAGCTTCCATCGAGCAGATTTTGGCAGCAGGTCAGTAAGTTGTTCTTGAACTGACTTCTCTCCGTCAAATATTGACAGTACGCCAGTTTTGACATAAAATTGTATTATAAACTTACCTTTAGAAATATCGGTCAGTTTTGTTGTTATATTTTTGTCTGCTTCAAGAACTTTCACCATCTCGGTTATACCAACTTTCTTTGCTTTATGAAAATATTTTGGTTCAGCAAAGACTGCTATTCTATAACATTTTCCATTGTTTGTGTAAAGAACTATTCTATCAATGAACTTGTATTGTTTGTGTGTGTAAACTTTGTTTTGCTTCAATTCGAAGAGATACTCAAATACGTCCATCTTTTTATTCTAAGTAAAATGTCATTTCCGAAAAATAGAAGCGTAAGTGTTTCAAAAGGTTTAATGGCGATGGCAGATGTGAAGTTAAATTCACCAACTCAAACAAACAGTCAAAGTGTTGTTGTCAATGTCAAAGAAAGAGATGTTGAAGTGGGGAAACCATACGAAGACCAAGATGGTATAACAATAGTTCCTGTAAAAGAACAACCAACATACCCTGAAGTTAGCAGAGACTTAAGTTCTGTTGCAGATATTCGAAATGACTACAAGCAACTTAAAGACAAACTTAAAACTCAGGAGAAGATTTGTCAAGCTTTAGGTATAATGTTAAACTTGGTCGAACACAACCCTGTAAAAGTGAACTCATATGTCATCGCACCTCATGAAATTTTGAAAGAACTATTGAAACTTTTGACAGAGGCAGACGATATAAACATCAAAGAAATAGAACCCGACATTGCTTGCTGTGGTGTTTCATACAATGTCATTGACAAGATATACGTTATGAAAGGAGGCGAAACGTTGAACTTAAAATATAGTTTCCCAGACGTTATAAAAATATTTGACGACCACAACATTTCATTAAAATTTATTTGCTAAGTAAATGGCAGAAGACACAATGGTTTATACTATTACGACTAAAAACCCTGAGTCATATAATTCTATAACAACAAACTTACAAAGTCCTCAAGGACGATATTGTAAACTAACCTTAAACACAATGACGACTAAAGCTTGTTTTGCTCTTTTGACACCAGAAGATTTTATTGTTGTGAATGGTAAAAAATACTCCTTTGAAGATACTTACTCAGATATACCACCAACAGGTTTTGTTGACTTATTTAATACTTTAAGTACGGGTGTAACATGTGCTGCAACTAGAGCAGGTTTCATTATGTTTGGATGTCCGACTGAGTTTACTATAAACAATATGAGCTATAATACAAAACTTATATCTGGTTTTTACTACCAACAGTTTCCTATAACAGGAAAAGGTGTCATACAAGGAATGTCTGTTCCATTGACTTTAAGTACACCTATTTTATATATTGTTTCAAACTTAGGTTCAAAGTGTTATTCGAATGTCGACAGAAACTACTATGACCAAAAGATACTTATGCGTATAAATAACACATTCTCTGCTGGTTTGCCTATTGTTCATTCGAATGCAGAGTTTTCAGCTTTAGTAAACTCAAACACTTTAGCAAACATAAACTTAACCTTAGTTGACGCAAACTTTGTTCCTGTAAAACTTTTATGTCCTATGTATTTGTCAATGACGGCAGAAAGTTTCGAATTGGAAGATGCAACTGGTGAAAGTATTGTATTACAAGAACAACTTCAACAACAAATAGCTCAAGAACAACTTCAACAACAAATAGCTCAAGAATAAAAAAAAATATTTTTTTATTTTTATAAAAATGTACAGAATAGATGTTTCAGATTTTTATGACTTCCAAGCCTTCAGAAATATGTGTCCATTTAGAGACTATAACAAAGCAGTCGAGAATTTGAAACGTTTAGTCATTTATGTTGACTCTGCCCCAGAATGTTATGTTATGAAAGAATGGGATGTTGTCTTTAACAAACCAAGAGCAACAATAGTGTCTGAACAAGAATGTAGACAGAAACTTAAGAAAATAAAAGTTGTACAAGTTGGAATGAAGATGTTAGATGCTTGGGATATCTTATTGTCAAAGTTAGAAGATTTTTCAGTTCGTGGTATAAAGTTTTATACACCATCTCCAAACTTCTATTCTATCTTCACTGGATATAAATACGAACAAGTAGAATGGAAAGAAAATGTTATAGAAGCTTGGTTAGACCATGTCAAAGAAATTATATGCAATGGAAACGAAAGAGTCTATGAGTATATCTTATGTTGGTTTGCAAACATCTTACAACATCCAAGTGCTAAAAATGAAACTGCTCTCATTATAATTGGAAAACAAGGAACTGGTAAGAACACATTCTTTACAGATATCTTATGCAAACTGTTAGAGGGCTATTCGAACCCGAATATGACAAACATAGAAAACATCTGCGGTAAATTTAACTCTTCAATAGAGAATATGAAACTTATAGTATGTAACGAACTTCAAAGTATAGATACAACAAAAGTTTTAAACTCAGATGCTTTGAAGAGTCTTATAACAGACAAAGTTGGAGTTGTTGAAAGAAAATATAAAGACCAAAGAGTTTGTGAAAATGTTGCAAACTTCGTCATGGTTTCAAACAATGCCGTTCCGATGAAGTTAGAAAGTTCTGACAGAAGATATGTAGTTGTCAGAACGTCAGATTCTCATATGCAAGATACAGAATATTTTGACGACTTAGCAGAAACTTTGACATCTGACTTTTACAACCACTTGTTCTCATATTTCATGACATTAGATATTTCTAAGTTCAATCCAAGACAAATTCCACATACCGAAGAAAGACAAACATTGTTAGAAGCAAACAAGAGTGTTTATGAACTGTTTATAGATGAGACTAACTTTGAGTGTTTAGATGAAAGGTCATTGTACGATGAATATAAACAATATTGCCAAGAGTATGGTTATATGACAGCGTCTAAACGAACATTCTTGGCAAATGTCAAAAATCTTTTAGATGTTCAGAACGGCGTATATACAAAGAAAAATTTTTCTGAGTAAATTTTAAAAAAATATTTTTTTTATTTTATTTGAAATGTACGCTGAGTTTGTTGGAGAAGACCGTTGGGAAACTTGTTTGTTAGATGAGAAATATGAAATTCACTGTTGTGAGTCATTTGAAGTCAGAAACAAAGAGACAAAAAGAGTTTTAAGCGGATGGGAGGGAAATAACGGATATGCTAGGATGAGTATGAGTGGAAAACACTATTTTAAACATGTTGTCATTGCAACTCATTTTATACCGAATCCTAACAATTTACCTTTTGTAGACCATATAAACCATATAAGAAACGACAATAGACTTGAGAACTTACGTTGGGTTACTCGTTCTGAAAACAATAAGAACAAAAGCAAATTTGGAGATATAGTATTCGAATTTGTCGACGAACTAGAAGATGAAGCAATTGAAATTACAGACTATGGCAAGCACACGTTTGAGTTTTACTACTATAGCGAAGAACAAGACTCTTTCTACTTTTATACCGGCGTAAACTATAGAAAATTACAAGTATGTTTTACTAAGGAAGACTATGCTTATGTAAACACTAGAGATACAGATGGAAAATACGTTCAAATACATCTTAACAAATTCAAGAAGCTATATGGCATACCATTTTAAAACGTTTTTAAAAAAAAATATTTTTTTTATCCGATAGAAAAGATGACGAAATATATTTCAGTCAACAAATATATGTCAGGACTTAAAGAAGAACTAGACCCATTCATATATTTGAATGTTTACTTCTACCATTTTGAAAAGTCTACATTTGACAAAGTTTGGAACATCGAACCAGTTAAGTTTGCTATTGTGACTAAAAATGGTGCGAAATTTGAAGACTTAGACATTGACGGTATGTTGACAGTCAAAGAAAATTTTGACAGAAAGTTCTCAAAACTCGAAGAAGGCAAAGCATACAAACTTGTTATACCTTATGAACCAAAGAAAGCAGACGACTATGAATATTATGAGTCTAAGATAGTTGAAGTTCAAGGTAAATTGGGTAAAAAGATTTTAGAGTCTAAGCCAGTGTTTGCTCCTAAAGAGGAAGAGAACATTGACATTGACCCAGAAATGTTCTAAAAATAAAATTTTATTTTTACATGTCAAATTTCTTTTTCTCTGGTTCAGGTTCTTTCTTCTCTTCTTCTACTTTCTTTTCTTTCTTCTCTCTCTTCTTCTTCTTCTCTGGTGGAGTTATGTCAAACTTCTCAGAACCATATTTATGTAAAAGTTCTTTGTCCTTTAATAGCTCTTCTATTCTGTTTTCTATTTCATCTTCAAGAACAGCGCATGTGTCTTCTTTGCATTCTAAGAACTTTTGTTGGACTTCATCTTTCCAATCGGCGTCATCTCTGTCAACAAGTCTGTCATTGACAAATTTAAGACTTCTCTGCTTAATGTTTTATGGTTCTTGTCATATTCCCAGAAACAGAACTTTAGAACAAATTCACCTTTCTTGTTTACACTATGTAAGATTTTATGGTCGACAGAAGTTTTAGAGTCAAAAAGCTTGTCTCGAATATAGATAGCGAAATCGCTAGACATTTTCAAAAAGATAAAAATTTTAATTTTCTAAAAATATGTTTAGAAAAAAAGTTTGCTGACATTGACAAAAAAATTTGAGAATGTTTTTAAACAAGAACAAGAGGAAGTTAGAAAATGCTCAGATAAAAACCCATACATGACAAGTTCTTATTTGCTCAGAATGGTATAACAGGTCTAATCGCACCACCTGGGTCGGGTAAGACTTTCACTTATCTTAAAATGGCTGCACAACAACAAGAACTAGATGAGAAGAACCCATTCTATGAGTTAGTTGTTATTTGTAGTACTTCTGGTCAATTTGACCAAACCGTCAATTCGTTCAAAGATATTATAAAAAAGTCTAAGTTAGTATGTATAAAAGACTCTGAGTTGTTAGATTGGATAAAGAAGTACCAAAGAAGAGTTTTGAAGTACAATGCTATAAATGAGTATATAAATTCTAAGTTTAAAGACCCAAATGAGGAAATGCAGAGAATATTAGAGAAGAAACACTTCAGAAACAAACAGAAAGAGATAGAATACATTTCGAAGAAATTGCAATCTTACGATTGGAAGACTTACCCTCACAGATGTCTTCTTATCTTAGATGACTTTGCTTCTCATCCTTTGTTAAAGAACAGAGAACAAGACATGTGTCGAATTCTTAAGAAGCTCAGACACTTTAACATCTCAGTCGTAATATGTGTACAGACAGCAAAGAGTTTAAGTAAGGATGTTAAAAGAATACTTACTGACATTATACTTTTCCCCGGATTGTCCGAAGACGATTTCATGGAACTTATGAAAGAGTCCATGGCAGGTAAGTTTGACAGACATGAACTATGGGAGAAGTACAAAGTCATACAAGACCCTCATACTTCTTTCAGAATTCATATCTACGCAAACAAAGTTCAAATTGTAAAAAGTCAAGCGTAAAAATAAAGAGTGCAATTTACTCTGTTGTGGTGCTGGGGCTGTCGGTTCTTCTGGCTTTGGAAGACATTCAGGAAGAGGAACGTCGGACATTCGTTTGTGTCCTGTTGGAAGGAAGGACTCGGAATGTCGGAAAGAAAAACTTTTCCTGTCGGAAAGAAAAACTTTTCCTGTCGGAAGGAAGGACTTTTCCTGTTGGAAGGAAAAACTTTTCCTGAAGTTCGACCAAAAAGTTCTCAATTTTCGAAAATTTGAATGGTTTACGGACGGACAACTGGAAAATTTTTTCTTGTCGGATGGAAAATTTTTTCTTGTTGGAAGGAAGAACTTTTTCTGTCGGAAGGAAGAACTTTTTCCTGTCGGATGGAAGAGTTCTTCCTGTCGGAAGGAAGAACTTGGAATGTTGGAAGGAAGAACTTGGAATGCCAGAAGGATTTGACAAGACAATTTACCTTATAGAGCTACCTGAGCCATCTGAAGTCAAGACCAAAAATAAATGGTTCATTTACTCTGCTTGTTTGAAGTTGTCAAAATACTCTGTTATTTTTTCCTTTAACAATGGCAAATCTTCTTTGAAGGTAAGTATTGTACAACCTTTCATATCATAGTGTGTTTGAGGTAAAGTATCTTGAACTATTTGTTTCACATCTTCATTTGGTGTCATTGAAATCGGTAAGTTTTCGCGATAGAACCAATTTCTGTCAGATTTGTAAATCTTAGCAAGGTCGTAAAAGCTTTTGTTGTTTCTTCTGACTAAATGCAACATAACCATATCTCTGTCTTCTTCATTTTCCATCTCTTCAGTATAAATCATATACTTATAGTTCTTTTCCTTACCTTTTGGTACCGAACGTGGTATTCTTTTCTGAATGCTTTTGTCTTTTGCTTCAAGCTTGTTTTCCATCTCTTCACGTTCTTGTCTATGAATTTCGTCAAGAAGTTTACAAACATACCAAGCATAACGAGGTGAAGCCCACATTGCAACAGCATTTACTAAAAGTCTATGTACATACCAACCTCTCAAACCATTTGGCAATTTTTCACGATTTTCGTACGGAATCTCTACCCTCGGTTTTCCGAGGGAAGCAAACATATGAGGAAATTCTTCTAAAAGTTCTTTTGTCTGTTGGTTTTCAAACCAATGATATGCTTGCTTTGTAGAACGAAGAGTATTCAAAATACTTTGCATTTGGTACATATCGTCTTTGACCGAACGAATGAGACGGAGTTGTTTGTTAAACTGAACCCACTCGTATTCTTCATTTATAGCTTCATGGACTATAACTGTTGTTGTGTTCTCTGTTGTTGACATATCTGTCTTTATATTCCGGATAAAAAAATAAATAAAAATAAAACTAACTTTATTTTCTGACTTTCACAAAAGACCAAAAATAAACGCTTTACATGTATTTTTCAGCAACTTCGTCAAATAATTTTATAGCTTTATCTATCTCATCTACTTCAAACGTTTCTTTACCTTTTATGGGAGCACCATACATTTTCTCAAACTTTTCGAGTAGTTCTGTTTCTGCAGCTCTCATATCGTTAACGAACACAACCTTAACTCTATTGACTGTACTGTCATATCTTTGAGTTATATTATATGTTCTTCCTATCTTATATATCTCTTTGTATTGAAGTCCTTCGGTTTCTGAACGATGTAAAGTAAGCCTTCACTGCAACGTTCCGTATCGAATGAACCATATGTTATGAAGTTATATCCAACAACTGGGTCTAACCATAACAAAACTATTGGTATAAGACTTTTGTCTATAAGATATGCTGTAGTTCCATAGAATCTTACCGATATCATAAGCTCAGGATTTTCTTGTCAAAATTTTCTGACTAGAAGCAGTTCTAACCCAGTCGTGGGATGTTTTCTTTCCAAATGGAGATATAATGTCTGACAAAGAATATTTATTGTATTTCTTTGAGTATCTTACGTTTAAATCACCTATTCTAACCAATTTAGTGTTATTGTCTATCTTTTTAACTGTTTCAAACTCAGTGTTTGTCATTTCCTGTTCTTACATACAAAATAAAAAAAAATATTTTAAAAAAACTAACTTTATTTTTTCTATCTTAAGGAAATTCATGATTTTCATAGAGTTTTAGGCGACCAGGATTTCTTACCTACTCGCTGTTCTTCATGATTTTCATAGAGTTTTGGCGAGTAAGATTTTCTATCTTGTATAAAAGATATGATTTCAGGGATTTTTTTGACGAAGTGCAAAAGTTCTCTTCGTAAAAAAATAACAGTTATATAATGAAATTTGGTCATTTTTTCAATAAAAATAATGTTTATGTTAGAATGTTAGATCTAACATGTTTTCTAACATGTTTTCTAACATGGTCTAAAACATACAAAACTCATGAAATTTTATACAGAATTCAATAAAAATATATTTTATGTTAGAATGTTAGATCTAACATGTTTTCTAACACGTTTTCTAACATAACTATTTACAAGCGTTTTACATGGTATATGTTGCGATGGTTCATGACTCTAAACAGTTTTGTAGCTTCTATTTCTTCGCTGAGGATATCGAATGTTTTAACAATGCCGAAAGTCTCTTTATATTTCTTCTTGACGTCAGATAGAAGGAAATCTTCTGCTGTTGGATAGTTTTTGTTCAGAAATTCTAACATGTCCATTTTATCTTCTGCTGGCTTTTCTGCTTCTTTCTTTAAATCTGCATAGTCGTTTCTCATTCTTTCTATCTCTTTGACGGAGTAGTTATATTTCCTCATTGCTGCTTTACATTTAGAACATTGCGGGTTCATTTTTGCGTTATATTCTGAAACCTTACCTGCTAAAACAACTAAGGCGTCAATGGTTTTCTTTAACTCAAAAGTTGCTGGTTTTATTTGTTCGTTCCATATTTTACCTCTTCTATCTTTATCTCTTATCTGCCATACACATTCAGCAACTAACGAAACAAAGTTGTCGTAGGTCTTAAACTCCCCAGATTTATATATGTCAGAGATGTTCTTATATACCATGTCGCAATCTTTGTCCATAACCTTATGGTTGCAATGAAATCCTAGAAACTCATAGTTTACCTTTCGTATGAACTTCTTTATTTCTACTGAGTCAGTTGTTTTGACTTCAATTTCGTCGAATTCAGGAATAGTTAGTTTTTGTTGTTGGATTTCAGGCAATTTGGGTAAATGGTCAATAATGTCCTGCATGTCGTAAAGATACTGTTCATTTTGTTCATCTTTCGCACAACAGTCCAAAGTACTTGTTAAAAGTTCCTGCTTTATCTTCTGGATTTCTGTTTCAAAAGTATATGAAGAAGGAATGAAGCTTTTCATCTCTACCAACATTGACGTAGGATTCATGACTAACGAGTTTGGTGCTGTAGTTGCTAACATGTTCTTACAATAAAAATAAAAAAAATATTTTATAAAAAACTAAAATATATTTTTTATTTCGGGAAAATTCATGAGTTTTGGTTGAAAAATACGGTGGAGCCAAAAGTGGCTCGACCTCAAAACAAGCATTTTGTGAAGAATATACCAACCGCCGGAATTCCGACGGTTGCTTTTTATACAAAATTCAACGGGTGACAAAACATTTACGATGAAATTCATGAAAATTCATGAAAATTCAAGAGTTTTAGACCATGTTAGAAAACATGTTAGAAAACGTGTTAGATCTAACATTCTAACATAAACTTTATTTTTGGGTCATTTACACTCATTACGATGAAGAAGTTTTGACAAAACATGTACGAAGAAGTTTTGACAAAACATTTACGATGAAATCATGAAAATTCAAGAGGTTAGAAATGAGGTTAGAAAACATGTTAGAAAACGTGTTAGATCTAACATTCTAACATAAACTTTATTTTTGGGTCATTTACACTCATTACGATGAAGAAGTTTTGACAAAACATGTACGAAGAAGTTTTGACAAAACATTTACGATGAAATTCATGAAAATTCATGAAAATTCAAGAGTTTTAGACCATGTTAGAAAACATGTTAGAAAACGTGTTAGATCTAACATTCTAACATAAACTTTATTTTTGGGTCATTTACACTCATTACGATGAAGAAGTTTTGACAAAACATGTACGAAGAAGTTTTGACAAAACATTTACGATGAAATTCATGAAAATTCATGAAAATTCAAGAGGTTAGAAATGAGGTTAGAAAAGAGGTTAGATCTAACATTCTAACATAAACTTTATTTTTGCCGAATTCTGTATAAAACTCATGAGTTTTCTACGATGTTAGAAAAGAGGGTAGAAAACATGTTAGATCTAACCTTCTACCCTAAAATATATTTTTGTCGAAAAAAATGGTTCATTTACTCACAATATTTTTGTACAAAACGACCCCAAACTTTTAACTTCTTTTCTGCAGCTTCTAATGCTATCTTAGCGAGTTCATATTCTCTAAATTCTCTCTTTAAATCTTCTTGTTCCCATTGGTCTAGTTCGTATGGAGAGTCTCTATAACCAGAACATATCTCACGTTCATGTTCTATTTGTTTTTCATGCATTTTTCTAACTTCTTGTTCGAACAAAGGTTTTGCATTCTCTACTGTATCTTCAAGTTCTTCTTCATCTAACTTCTCATGAACTTTCTTGTCTATGGAGTCCATAATTTTTCCAACTGCTATACAATATTTTGGAGAAGCCCACATTGCTATATAGTTTACGAGTCTTGGGTCTACATACATTCCTCTAACCTGTTTGATTTCATCCGGAATTCCTGCATGAACTTTGTATAAAAAGCAACCCGCCGTTTTCCGCGGGTTGGTATATTCTTCACAAAATGCCTTAAAATACTCTTCCCAGGACTTATTTTCCAACAACCTTCTAAAGTCTTTCCTAAACTGCTGACACATCTTTGTTGCATTTATATAACCATCCTTGTCTCTACGTAAGACTTCAATACCGTTGTAAGTGCCTTTTGTGAATGTTTCGCCATTAGATTTGTTCGTGAACGTTTTTGCTTCGACTGACATTTCTGTTCTTACAATAAAAATAAAAAAATATTTTTTGGTGGTACGTCGGACATTGTCTTGAAACAGTACAAATATTGTCTTGAAACAGTACAAATATTGTTCTGAAGCAGTGCAAGTCTTGTTCTGAAAAAGTACAAATATTGTTCTGAAGCAGTGCAAGTATTGTTCTGAAAAAGTACAAGTATTGTTCTGAAGCAGTACAAGTATTGTTCTGAAAAAGTACAAGTATTGTTCTGAAGCAGTACAAGTATTGTTCTGAAAAAGTACAAGTATTGTTCTGAAGCAGTACAAGTATTGTTCTGAAAAAGTACAAGTATTGTTCTGAAACAGTACAAGTATTGTTCTGAAAAAGTACAAGTATTGTTCTGAAACAGAAAATTTTTCTCACAAATTGAGAGCTTTTACGGGAAATTTGTTCTGAAAAAGTACAAGTCTTGTTCTGAAAAAGTACAAGTCTTGTTCTGAAAAAGTACAAGTATTGCTCTGAAACAGTACAAGTATTGTTCTGAAAAAGTACAAATATTGCTCTGAAACAGTACAAGTATTGTTCTGAAAAAGTACAAATATTGTTCTGAAGCAGTGCAAATATTGTTCTGAAGCAGTGCAAATATTGTTCTGAAGCAGTGCAAATATTGTTCTGAAGCAGTGCAAATATTGTTCTGAAGCAGTGCAAATATTGTTCTGAAGCAGTGCAATGGACAACATCGAGCCACATTCAATACTTTTTCAGCACTTCTCCGTAGTTGTATATGAAAGACAATTCGAGATAAAAGTCATAGTACAATGGTATTATATGCTGCACACCGTTTGTTGTGAACCAAACTTGAAAGTCAGAGAAACTGTTACTAGGTGGTTCGTAGAATTTAGAGGTAAGGTCATAAAAGTCCTTACCAATACAAAGAAAACTGTTGTTGCTTGAACTGAAACTTGCATGACACATGACATTTTGAGGGTCGAACACGTTTCTATAAACTGTCAAATCTGTTGGTGGGCGTATAAATTTAAACGGACCGTCAGGTGGCAATGGTTCGTTCTGGTTTAGTAACCGAAGAAATTGTGCCCAAGAACGTTTGTCTACTTCCCAAAATAAAAACTGTGTATCTCTTGGAGGGTTATTTTCAATCCTTTGAAATGAAACTGTGGAGTTCATCTTGTCATATTCTAGTTTCAGATAGTATGTTCCATTTAGTAAAGAATCGTATTTTTCTTGAAATTCCCAGTAGTATTTGTTTATTTGAGTTTGAAAGTCATTTAGAGTTTTTTCAAGACTTTCGTCTGAACGAATTGTAAAGATTCTCATTTCGTCAAATTTGTCTATTAGACCATCAGAATCTTTATACTGACCATGAAAATATACCGCGAACATAAAAGCGTTAGTTCTATTTGAAAACAAAACTCTTCTAAATCCTATTGCCTTTGCATCTGAAGGACTTTGAAGCCAACGAATTGGATAGTCAAACCTGTAAGTACGGGATGAAATTTCTTCATCTGATATAGTCCTACCGGCGTTTGTAAAGATATAGTCTAACGGTTTTGTATCTGCTACTTTTGTTCTTTGTTTTTCAACCTGAAACATTTAATATATGTAAAAATATACTGTTTTAAAAACGTTTTAAAATGGTATGCCATATAGCTTCTTGAATTTGTTAAGATATAGTCTAACGTATTTTCCATCTGTATCTCTAGCGTTTACATAAGCACAGCCTTCCTTAGTAAAACATACTTGTAATTTTCTATAGTTTACGCCGGTATAAAAGTAGAAAGAGTCTTGTTCTTCGCTATAGTAGTAAAACTCAAACGTATGCTTACCATAGTCTGTAATTTCAATTGCTTCATCTTCTAGTTCGTCGACAAATTCGAATACAATATCTCGAAAATTGCTTTTGTTCTTATTGTTTTCAGAACAAGTGACCCAGCGTAAGTTTTCAAGTCTATTGTCGTTTCTTATATGGTTTATATGGTCTACAAAAGGTAGATTGTTAGGATTCAGTATAAAATGAGTTGCAATGACAACATGTTTAAGATAGTGTTTTCCACCCATCTTCATATCAGCATATCCGTCATTTCGCTCCCATTCGCTTAAAACTCTTTTTGTCTCTTTGTTTCTGACTTCAAATGACTCACAACAGTGAATTTCATATTTCTCATCTAACAAACAAGTTTCCCAACGGTCTTCTCCAACAAACTCAGCGTACATTTCAAATAAAATAAAAAAAATATTTTTTTAAAAAATATATTTTTTCTTTACTTTACATAACCACCAGCTACCATAAGTCTTTGACGCCAACCCATACCAGCTAATGAAGGTTGGCTTGGTTTAGTTTGAAAACTAACCTTTGGTTTTGGTTTATCTTCAGTTTTTGGCTCACCTTCTTCTATTGGTTTTTCGTCACTTTTCGGTTCATCTGACTTTACCTCACTTGCAGGTATGGTTTGTGTCGTCAACATCTTCATAATATCAATATGCCATTTGTTTTTGTTTTCCTTTCAACTTTTTGTGTTTTGTTGTAAAGTTTAGAATATTTCGACTCTAAGTCAATGAGATGTTCTATAATGAACTGTTGATCGGTGAAGTAAACTTTTCCATCTGTTGTCTCGAAAGCTCCTTCAGACTTCAATATTTATTTGTGAGAGTCTGTTTCTTTTTTGAGATACTTAGCCGTTCCATTTATGAAAAGTGACTTTGTAGTTAGGGTTTGTATTTCCAGACCTGGCACTTTCTATTATTGAA